TAGAAATTTTAAGCCCTGCCCACAATTTTTCCATGGGACTGAGATCAGTGCTTTGTGATTGCCTCTCAGTTACCTTGCTGTCCTTGAGTCACATTCACACAATTTACTTGTTTGTTGAAGGTCAACATGCCACATGCAACAACATTTTCATATTTTTTTTCGTAAATCTTCCAAAAACAACACATTTCCACGCTTGTTCATTCATAGAAATGGCTTTTGAAGATGAATAAGATAGATTTTTACCAGTTTGGAGATTGCAGTTCTACTGACTGGGAGCTGAGCAGAATGAAAGGACCAGTAAAAGCCAACCAGAGCTTTAAATGCTTTGGTTGCACTGTCACAGTAGTAAAAATAAAAAGCATTTGATCTAAAAATGATGACAAAAACATGTCTAGCAAAAGCAAGACAGTCAAAGAAAACTGCTGCTGAAGGCAAGAGGTGAAACATATTAAATGTTTAATATGATCATCAACCAACATGAGACAACATTCTGCTAAATCTCCTTTTAATACACACACACCTATAGGCCTACTGTAACCAGAACACGTCTGGCATCCCTTCATCGCACTCTCTCTCTCTCCTATACAGCGCATAATAAAAATGTTAATAGCGCATTCAATGAATTCCGATGGGCCCAAACTAAAACATTCCACATTTTATGTAATAACGAAGCCAATGAACTGCCACTGGGCCTTATTGTTGGAAAAGAGTCAAGCAGAATTTTATTCTGAACTTTCTATCTATTTCCTGTTCTAGATGTTATTTCAAGCTTGATCTCACATAGAGATAACTACTGACTGTGCTTTTTTGTTTTACTAAATAACAACAAATTAAACCAGTGTCCGATGGATACCTACAGTGATTTGTGAAAGTATTCAGCCCCTTTGAACTTTTCTACCTTTTGCCACATTTAAGGCTAAAAAACATAAAGATTTAACATTATTTTTGTGAAGAATCAGCAGCAAGTGGGACACAGTCATGAAGTGGAACACAATCTAGTCGATTTTTTAAAACTTTTTTTTACAAATAAAAAACTGAGAAAAAATCCCCTGGGTATTTCTCCATCAGTTTTGCACATTGGGAGACTGGAATCTTTGTTCGTTGTTCTTTGCAAACCTTAGTGAGTTTGGATGGAGAGTGTTTTTTTTAGCAGTTTTCAGTTCTTTCCACAGATTCTCAAATGGATTCAGGTCTGGACTTTGACTTGACCATTCCAGCATCTGAATATGTTTATTTGTGAACCATTTCATTGTAGATTTTGCTTCACAATTTTCTTGTTTGCAGATAAATCTCAGTCCCTGTCTCAGGTCTTTTGCAGAATCCAACAGGTTTTCATCCAGAATGGTCTTGCATTTGACTCACTTCATCTTCCCATCAATTTTAACCATCTTCCCTATTCCTCCTGAAGAAAAGCAGGCCCAAACCATGACGCTGCCACCACCATGTTTAACAGTGGGGGTGGTGTGTTCAGGGTGATGAGATGTGTTGCTTGTGCTGATTGTTGTCCTATGAACAGAGTCTCCCCCCTCAGCTGTAGATCTCTGCAAATCCTCCAGAGCGACCATGGGCCTCTAGGCTGCATCTCTGATCAGTCTTCTCCTTGTATGTGAATTTAGAGAGACACTAGGTCTTCATAGATTCACAGTGGTCTGATACTCCTTCAATTGTAATGGTATTGCTTGCACAGTTCTCCTTGGCATGTTTATTAAAATCCTGCTTTAAACTTCTCCAGAACAGCATTTAAGACCTGTCTGGTGTGTTCCTTGTTCTACACGATGCTCTCTGAGACTATGACATAACAGGTGTGTTTATACGGGGACTTGATAACACACAGGTGGATTCTATTATCATCAGTCATTTAGGTCAACATTGGATCATTCAGAGAACCTCTCTGAAATTCTGGACAGAGTTTGATGCACTGAAAGTAAAGGGTTCGATTCATTTTTCACACCCCACAGTTTTTAATTTATTAAAAAAAGTTTGAAATACTTGAAATACAGCAGCTGCGTTTTCACCAATCATCAAATTGCGACTACGAAAATAAAATGGTGAAAGCCTGCAATTTTGAAAAAAGTTTTGTAGAAAGGTTTTTAACCCTTCAATGGGTTTTTTCACATTGAAATTATTGTATATTACAAAACTGTAATAGAATCGCTTTTTCGCATCACGCGACTCCCATGCTCTGTAACTGTACCTTACTGCCACTACTACAGTGATGAAAGATATGACAGACAAGGAATTAATGTAAACTGTGCAAGTTTTCTTCTTTTCTTATCATTTCATATTTGGAATGTTTTCTAAAAAGGAAGCATTTTTTCTCTGTGCTTTCATATGTGTTGTGAAGTGCACTAGACCCTCCAGCAGCAAAACATAATGCATACTTCACTTCTGGCTTGGTGTTTCAAGGCTTTCTCCTTCTTCCTTGGAATGTAACCTCATTAGAATCAGCCACTTCACATCCATGGTTGAGCATTATTATGGTGTTTATACTCACATAATAAAAATTAGTGTTTGGGGAGTTCCTTTAAAATATATCTACAGGTGTTTTTAAAGTTTACTCATATAAAAAGAAACCCCATAAATTGAAACTTAAGAAAGCCACTGAATCATTATCCAGGCTTTTTCAACAAATTTAAAGGTAGAAAACCCTGAGCTAGCGTCAGACTCTGACAATTCGAAAAATTTATATAATTTGGAATTTATCTGTCAAGGTTTGGTGGAGGTTTTTGAGGACCCAAATGAAGAGATGAGGAGGCAGAGATAGGCTTGGCTGATTTAATTGAGGTTCCAGAGGAACAAAAGCAAAAATTCAGGAACAAAATAAGAAATACAAAAAACCAAGGGATGCCAGGGAGGAATAACTCATTGGGAGGAAGCAATAAAGCAAAAAAAGCAACAAGAAACAAGCAAAGAGGGAGTGCAGAGGTGGTCTATATATGGGGAACAGAACAAAGAAAGGGCTAATGAGCTGATATGGAGCAGGTGTGAAAAGAAGTAACTATAAGGGAGCCAAGGGGAAAGGAAACTGGCAGAAGGGGGCAAAACACTGCTTATAAATGACTAGAAAAGGGCAACAATGACACAAAATGAAAAACAAAAAAGATTACAAAGAAAAACAGAATGACTTAAATTTAAATGTAAATGAAAACTCAAAAACTCCACAAAGGGCAGAAACATGACATTATCAATGCAACCTCACCTAAAACAGGGAAAGTTAAGTTTAATAGAAAACGACTGAATAAAGATGAAGGTATCTTTCAATATAGTTTAGGTAATTATATGGTATGAACTGCATTTTTTGGATAAAATCACCCAACTGTTCTTCTCTAAAGGATAATGTCTGCCCTACTGGGCTTTTTGCCTGATCTTTGACTGATTTAAGAGTTTAAGTGCTCTAGGTCTTTCGCGAGCTGCAATTAAAATATCTACTTTGTTTCAATGTGAGTGACAGGACTGTCTCTGTTTTACTGCAGACCAGCTTGGATGTGATACGAATCATCAGAGCTGAACATAAAAACTCTGAGATCAGCTGCAGCAGTGCAAACAGATGGAGGATTAGCGTCAGGGAAAAGGTCGGAGCAGCAGACGCTAATCTGTGAGTCAGAGAACGGGTCCGATCAGGTCAGAACCATCAGGAACTGCAGAGAATTCCGGATGAGTATTCGATAATATCCGAGTAAAAGATCAAACTGGGTCAAAACAAAGGGTGGTTTGTAATTTCCTTTGTGCTAATTATTCATCCTTCCACTGTTTTGCTCTCATCCCCAGCTGTTAGCTCTTCAGCATTCAGCGGCATTTAACACTATAATTTTCAGTCTGTCTCTGTTTTAATTTTCTAACCTTTAAACAACACAAAGTAACTTTTAGCCACTAGTAACACTAGACCTGTAACTCACCCCCCCTGAAAACTACTTGAACAACCTCACTGTTGCAAAATTAAACCGTTTCCCTCTGTTTTGAATTCTGATAACAAACCACTTTGGACCAGCAGATTGAGAAGTCATGGAGTTACTTGTAAAGACCAGACCATGTTCATCCTTCCAGGTTTGATCCTTAATCAGAGAAACAAAAATATGGCAGATCAGGTAAAAGTCATATCTGTTTTGCTGGTGAATCGCAGCTTTAGCGTAGTTAGTCTCATGTCTTAAGGGGAACTCATACTACCTTAAAGCGACACTATTTTAGGGATGGATCCGACCTGTGCAAGCTACTGTACACAGGCAGGTTTTTGAGAAGAGCAAAGCTTATGCCATGTTGCTTTTTCATGCTTCACAGTTTCAGCTGGGTTTTGGTCCTACTCACAACATAGAAAACATGACACTAGAAGTGTAAGGCCTGAAGAGATTCTCCACACACATTTGCACCTGTAATTTACGTGACATTTATCTCTATAAAGTATTGACCCAGGGAGAGAAACATTAATGCACACCAAACCTTTATGATCTTTGTCTTTAGCACATTTTGAAAACCATGTATACTTTTGTCTTTCAAAATGACTCTTTGATATGAATAAAATCTATCAAAGATAAGTGTTTATATCTAGATTATTAATTGTAGTTTTATATCCTATAAATAATTTCTTTTTTACTTTCTTCCGAAGTGTGCCTTACATCCATGCTGTTTCAGAAATGAGCTTTTGCTTTCTTTTTATCTTGAACATCTTTCATTTTATCTGAATATGCCATCTTTTTTAACTACTTCAAACTGTTTTTTCTTTAAGATGTAGCTTTTGTTTTTGTTTTTTGTTTTTTTCGTATTTATTTTTTTGTCTTGTATGCGTCTCTATGCTTTTATATGACACCGGTGAGTTTCCCCACTTTATGACAATAAAAGATGTTTCATTCTTTTTTTTAGGTCTGCTAAATCTAACATTTCCCAGGAACTGCAGGTTCTGCTGTGCCCTTCACACTATTAGGCATGTGATTAAAAAATCTGAAAATGGAGAACTTGCAGCTCACCACTAGATTCCTCTCAAGGTAATACAGCCCCCCCCCCCTTACCTCCAAATGCCGGTCTCATTGTGAAGTCATGATCATCTACTTTGAGAAGCTGCTCCGTCTTGGTTTTCCTGGACTTGGTCACATCTGGAGGTTTCTTTGGCAAAGCGCTGCAAGAAGAAAAGAATAGAAATAAGGAACAGAAATAAAAACAACAGCAGAGAAGGTCAGGGGAAAATTATTGGCTGCTTTTTCAGCTTCTCTGATCCTAGCAAAGAACAGAAATTGTTTTCTCCTAGGATGGATCTCCAGCTCACATTCAGCAGCTTGGGGCATGGTGAAAATTCCAGGAAGCCTGATCTCCAACAGGGTGAATTACTCCAGAGTAAAATTACAGCAGATTTGCACAGCATTTCATCACAAATAAGGTTACTGTTGCAAACTTTATATGCAGTCATCAGATAATTTATCAGCTTGAAACCATGAAAGTTGCTGGTTTGAAAAACAAAAACAACCAAATCGAAGCAGCAAGTCAAAAACCTCAAGCTCCTAAAAACACTTGTGAAGACATTAACTCTGAAGAGCTCCTTCAAAAATAATCTTTTAATACGAAGGAATTTCAATGAACTCAGCAACATATTTCTATTATTAAGGAAAATATTCATGGAAATGTTTTATTCTTTTATTTTATTTTATTACAGGTATTTAGTTTGAACTTTACAGGTAAATCAGCATCCAATTTTGCATACATCATCAGATACTTTTAACAGTTTCTTTCTTTGTTTATCCCTTTTTTACAGGTATTGAGTCTCTTTAAGATATTGAATCTTTCTAAATATGTTCTTAGATAATAATATTAAATTTGGCTCGATTTAGGATTTTCCTCTGCCTGGAGGAAAAAATGATGATCAAGAATCAGTTGATACAAGTAAAAATCTATAAATAAAAATAAAAAAAAATCCATGGCAGTAAAGAAGCGAGGGGAAATGCATTGTTTGACTTCATCAGTACTTTGGAGACAGATTCTTGAGCAGCAATCTGCATACAGTTTACAGCAGTGATGATTATTGTAAAAGAGTTTTTTACACGCCAAAATTATTTCTGTAAAATAACATTAACCGACTCTGTGCTTTAAAAAAAGTCCTTTTCTTTTAAAACCTGTATGTGAGCTTGTTGTTTTCTGTATTGCACCAAAAGTATCACTGATGCTGCAAGCCTGCTAGACAAGGCTATGAATGAGGTTGTCAAGTTTATGGTGGGAGATGTTTAGGACAGGGAACCAAACTCCATTAAGTTAACATGTATTTCACATCCCTGTGTTTGGTGCAAACTGTCTTTAACTGGTTTAAGTGAAGCTGCATGTAAAAACCCAACTTATCTCTTAAAATATTAAACAATTAGCTTTATCCTTTATTTGCCCAGAAAAGATAGAACATTCAAAGAAACTGCATCTGTTTTGCCCTGAAGGGATTAATGACAGAGATGCACCGATCCAATACCTGGATCGGATATTTGCTCTGATAATGACTAATTACTTGGATCAGATATCTGTGATCTGACATCAGATCTCTGAGCTCCGATCCATTGTGCTTCACAACTGTTCTTCTTTGTGATGCTTATTTGTTAAAAAATAATATTTCAATCTGAAAAACTCACTCAAAGAGAAGAGACAATTGGGAGAAATGTATTGATACAATCACTTTGTCTTTGGCGCTCAGACCTCGGCAGGAAATATAGCGCTTAATTTTGATAGATATGCATGAACAGAAGAAAAGAAAAGGGCTGTTGGAGATAGATGAAGTTGGTCAGTCTGTAGACTGCTGGTTAGCGAAACGGTATGCTGAGCTTTATGGGGAGATCCGGTAGACTGCGTGAGCTGATACTGAGCTTCACTCAGGGACCTAGAAGATGGAAGTCAAGTTGGATAACACAGGTTGAGAGAACCTGTCCATGATGAGCAAGCATGAAGCGACAGTGGAGAGGAAAAACTCCCCGTTGGGAAGAAACCTCTGGCAGAACCAGGCTCAACATGGCGGTCTTCTGCCGGACCGGGTAAGAAGAGACAGGGAAAGCAGTAAGAGTCGAGGAAGAATGACACTCCGATGAAGCTTTAGCTACAATAGTGGAGGAGGGACTGAAGGTGGGTTGAAATGGTGTCATCTGAATAAAGAGAAGAGCGTATCGGAGGCCTTTTAAGATGAACTTTGAATGCCGATTGGCTTTCGTCGAGGTGTGGTTCAAGGCTGTTTCGCAGGTGGATCTATGAAAAGCAATGAGTTTCTTCAGTTGAACCTCCACCTTGGCCCTTAAAGTACATTTATATCTGTGTTAATTTGGTACCTTATTTTAACAAGGTTTATATTAAAGATAAAGCCCTCATTCAAGTATCAAGATACGGCCGATATTGTCAGCTCAAGTCAGTATTGGATTGGATTAGAAAACACTGGATCGTTGTGTCTCTAATTAATAAATTCTGCTTGAATGAAGACCACTGATCTGATTCTTGTTTAATAAGACTTGTATTCTTCCATAACAACTCCAAACACTGGCACACAAGAAAATCCCATGGAGGAAATTGAAGGGAAATGACAGAATTGTTTGATTGTCCCTAAATGATGTCCTGGATCTCACATTTTCTGCTGGAACAGGAAACCTATGATATTCAGCCTCTGCAAGATCAATTTCAGAAACATGGATGAAACTGGAGCCAGAACATCAGAAACTCCTCCCTCACACTATCTTTATGAACTTATTGAGCTGTTGATGTCAGACAAACAGCACCACATCATTCTGCCCCCTGCAAGCTAAAAAAATGTAAAATGCTGAACTGCTGTCAGCATAATACACTTCTTACCACTGAAATTATTTTATATTCATATTATGAAATACATAGTTTGCATAGCATTAGTTATACAAAGAAAAGGCATAACACTGATTAGATTTGTTGCCTGTGAGTACAAGTTCTGCAGATTAAACCTGAGAATCCTGCTAGTAGAAGGCATGATGAGAATAAAAAGCAGAGTATTTATTTCAGGGAAAGTTTGCTTCCATCAGCTTCAGTTTGTTTACACTCAGCTGCTGATAATCCATCTTACTTATACAATTATTATAGAAGCTGTTTCAACAGGAGCCCAAATGTTCTCCTGATTTTAAGAACTCAATAAGTCTGCAGCAGCAGCTCAATTTTTCCATGAAAATTCCTTTGAAACATCACAAACTGCAACTCGAACTAGAAAATATATCTCTGAACTCAGCGTGTGGATTTGATCAATATTTGTATTTATGAATAGAAACAGTGACGATCATCAGAGACTCAGATATGTTTGAAATCTGCTAAGGAAGATGGGTTGCAGAAAATCTAGTGACTATGCAATTTAATGTCTTTCTTTTTAAAGAAAATGTATACTGATTATGTTTATTAAATTGAATTAAACGACATTGTAACATAACAGAATCTAACTATGAAATATTGGCTATTTTTTATAATTTACTATATTTTATTGATTTGATCATATATTTCTGGATAAGTATTGCATTTTTTGTAAAGTGCATTACTATCATTCCTCCAAGGTGCTACTACTTAAGTGGACAGATAGAGAAAAAATATTTGAAGGAGAAATATTCTCCATGCTGTAGAAGAAAATCATTTCCAGAACTCAGTTTTAGTCTGCACAAAGCAAGTGTGCTTATGCTTCATAAATAAGTTTCCACTCTCTAAAGTGCGGCTCTGTTATCACTGGTAAAAGCTCACCTACTCTTAGTAGAAAGATGCCACATCAAAGTGAGCTTGTTACAAAACTGAGAACATCCTCTGAGGGCTAGAGGCAAGCAAACTAGTCAGATGTTCCTTGTATTGACAATGATACATCCTATAAACTGTGAGTGTGTCCGGATATTTTTAGAACACCTAAACCTGGAAAAATGTTGGTGATGGATGAATCAGTGATGATTGGGTGGATCGAAACAGCCTGCAGACTCAAACAACTAAATATTAGATAGAAACAAGGAGGTTGTTCTGGTTAAAAACAATAACAAAGTCAGCAGCAGTCTGATCACATTTTAGACTGAAAATATGTGCTAGCACAGCATACAAACAATTTAGTTTGAGTTGTTTGCTAAAATCTGCTAAAACTGAGGATATCTGACTCGTCATTAACTTTCATGACTCTTCCTTTCATGTTGATTTTGCATCTTTCACAGGTTACAAAAACCAGTATCAATAAAAACATATGAGACTTAAAGAAATCTAAACAAATCATACAGACTGATTGCCTGGGATTCTCTTTCAGGGTTTTCTGGTAGAGCTAATAATTCATAGTTCTCCCAGGAAAACATAAGGTTTTCAGATTCTAATAGTAAAGATGAACCACACCTTCTTAATCCCAATATCAAATTTAACTGCTGGCATCATTGTACAATTTTTTATGCCAATGTTGCATGACACAAACAGCTGATTGTCTCCAAGAATTTGTGGGATCATCATGATTAACTTAAAGGTATAGTGGAGGATTTTTCACAAATTTTCATAAAACCCCACCCTCTACAATAAAAAAAACCCATGCACAACCCTGTACCAGCACCTAAAAGGTAACACCTAATTAACGTATGCAAGAGCGTGCATAAGCTCATTTCTATGGGAGAATTATCCTGCCATAATGCAAGAGCGCATAATTTCAATTTGAGAAAAGAATTTCATCTTCTTGCACTAAAAACTTATAATGCTCACACTCAAAACATGCGCTCTCTCTCAAATATTTTCTTTTATCTCTCAAATCTTTGTTTCTTCTCACAGATTTAATGCTTCTTGCACAGATTTCTCCTTGTGCACACTCTATTTAAGAGTTGCTGTTTGTATCACTCATACAAGCTTACTTTCCTAAAGAAGATTTGTAATTTTTCCACCACCTGTAAGTGAAAATGGGGACGAGCACATTGGACAGCCTTACGTAAACATATCATCAGAATGATTGACAATTAGGAGGGCCACTTATTTTAATTTGAAAAATAATTCCTCCAATGTACCTTTAAGAAAAGAGATAGACCTTAAAGTTACATAAGAGTTTTTTTTTTGCCCATTTACTTCTGGGAAGTTTCTCCAATGCTCCATGTTTTCAAAGTAAAGGTTCTTAGTGTGGTTTACTGAAAACCCAAAGTCTTCCTTCCAGATGGATGTCTGAGTCTTTGCTCCTCAACTGTTCAGGAATGTTTTTGGATCAGGACATGATGTAATGCTTTGTGACACCTTTTAGTTTGCCTCATGTTGTCATCCATGTTCTACAGTAAGTGAATTCTTGATTTTAAAGATCAGACAGTAATCAGTCCTGTGTGTGAGGGGTAAAATTGAACTCAGCTGTCTAAAAGCGGTGGGTAATCAATTTCAGTCAAGCTATTTAAAAATAGAAAAAAATGGTTGGGTTGAAGAAAACTGCTTTTTTTTTATCTTAATAACAGAAAATTGTCATCTAACTGTAGAGATGCACCACTCTGAGTATCAAATCAGTGCATCGCTACTTCCTTTTGCATTTATTCATCTTTGTTTAATAAAAAAGTTTGAATTTTAAGTTTAAAAAAAGGGGAAAGGGTGTATCTGATGAACATTTGACATTAATATAGGAATCTGATAAGAATTAAAAATCAGTTCAGTCTGGATTCACTTTGAAATACGGTATCAGATCAACATATAATAAAACGAGGTTATCTCGCCTGAAGATGTGCCCCTGATTAAGAAAAGGCCTGGGTCATGTACTGCAGCATTCAATCATCTGTATTCTTTATTAGAGGGCCCATACTGGAGACTGTTCAAAACTACCATGCAATGAAAAATAGAATTTGTTGCAAAAAAACTGCAAATATAAAAATATTTAAAAGCAACAATGTTCTTCACAGAGCATTTTAAAAGGCTAAAACAAGCATGTTTGAGATTTTTGTTGCACAATGCTGTTTAAGCTCTATAGACCTTTTAAACCCAGTGGTGGGGGGAAAAAATGTCTTGCAAAAAGCGCATCACTGTTGGAATATGTATTTATCCACATGCACAATCCTAAAAGATCCAGAGAGTTTCTTCATACTGTTCCATAACAGGTGTACTAAGGCGATTTATAACTGATTATTTTCCCCACAGATGTTTGACTTTATAATCCACAATAAACAAAACAGTCTTTAGATCACTGTTGACATTTGTATTTTTTTATTACTGTTGTTTGTATATACTGTACTAGTTGGGACCAGAACCAGCTGTGTTAAATGCTGAGTCCAGATGTGCACAGTTGTTGCTAAACAGAAAGCCTTGCTCTATAGAGCTGTTCTGAAACTCTATGATGAAAGGCGTGCATTCATAAAGATCCTGGTTTAAAAACATTCAAAAAATGTTTTTTTTTTTAGGCTGAGGAAAGGATGGTCGACTCTGAGTCACCTGCAGGGCTGCAGGGTGTTTCTTCCACTCAGATGCATGGTTGGTGTTTTAATCCTGTAGAACAGGTGGATTTTCTAAAGGCTTTTCTAAAAGCTTCTGAAAGAATCATTGAGAGGTTCTGGATAATTTTGTCAGAACGAGTCTGATCTGAAATTAAACACATTCACTGAGATACAACTAAGAAAAGAAAAAAACATTAACATAATCATATAATTTCCCCCAGAGCTGGACAGTCTGGGTCTGATGCAAAAACTCCTGATATTCTGATAAAAATCAGATGTTCACAGAAAAGCTTGTTTGAGTTAAGGACCCAAATTTAAATGTTGATTACTTCCAAAAGCACACAAAACAAACCGGTAGGGGTTTTTAGTCATACAGTAAATATTACATACAGCTTCGACCATAAAAATAACTGACAAACCAATAATTATGATGAAAATTCAATAAAACCGAATGCATAAATGTATGCATTATTTTCACATCTAATTACAAAAAGAAAAACAAAAGAATGTGTTTATGTCTCATGTTCAACCTCTAATCCTCATGGATATTTTTTCCCATCTCTCCCACTCATCAACATTATTTCTTGGGACTTACACGCCATGCTTGTGGGTCTCCTCGGGTCCGGTCCATCTGCGCACCCGCTGTCCGTGTTTGCGCGCCTCCGCGGTTCGGATCTGACCCAGCAGCAGGAACAGGAGCAGTGCTAAGAGGAGGAGCAGAGTTCTGTTCAGGTAAGGCATCCTGACGGCGTCCATCCACAGGTGAGTCCCTGCAGGAACATCATCCTCCTCCGCACGCGGATCCCGTCATGGTCTCTGACACGGTGTGATGTCTCTCAGCATCTGTGGATACGCTCAGGAGCGCGCGCACACGCCCACTGTGGGATTATTCAGATTATGGCTCCTCATCATCATCACCACCATCACCACAGGGCGGGTGCAACTTCTCCAACCTCTGCAGGGGCGAACAGAGACTCTGTGGAGCCAGGCACCAATCACCCACCCACCAACAATTACAGTCTGTTTTTTTCTACAAACATTGTCTTCCATGAGAACCTTCTTTTTTTTTTTTTTCAAAATCAGAAAAATTAACTCTTTTTTTTTTATTGTGACTTTTTGTGACAAAGAAAGAACAACATAAAAAAATACATAAATCTAGGGCAAACAATACGTGGCTTTCAAAATAAAATAAATTTACTACCATGATGGTACCAGCACTGTATCTTACCACAGGGCAGGGCATCATAAGGGGTATTCTATCTTATCCAAATAAAACCAGAGTGCCTTTTACCACATGTTTTTTGTGCCTCTTCCTTGTCTCCGGCAAAGCACCGACAAAACTTTATGCACCACTAATAGATTTCCATATCATTCCATCATGATCCACTAGAATTTGGTTGGATCTGACGTTCTTTTTTCCTATTCTTGCGTTTTAGGTTTTTAATATTTAAATAATGTCCCTTTGCGTTGAAGCTATTATGTGTCTTTCTGTTATTACTTTGTACCTATATTGTTTTCTCTGTTTTTTGACATTTCGTCATCTTAGTTCCTCCAATCAGTCAGAGACTTAAGACTCAACTTTATTTATCCCTTGGGATTACTCATTCTGGTTCCAGTAAGTTATATAGAGTACAAAAGGCAGAGTTAAAGCAAGAAGCTATAAGAGATAAAAATACAACACACAACATAAAAAGAATGTACATAGAACAAAAAAAAAGCATAAAAAACTGCAATGTCCTGGAATGTGCTTCCTTCAGATATAAAAATATCTGCACAGTAGAGAGCCAAGGGAAGACTACAGTAGTGGACTTGGCTTATTGCAGTTGTACTGCAGAGATGTACTGACCTTATAAATAAGTAAAAAATGACACAGGCTACACAGTAGTTGGCATGTGTTATTGTGCAGTGAGAGAGAAAAATATTGCACATGAGTGACAATAGGTAAAGTTTTGCAGAAGATGTCCAAGGAGGGGGATGCTGACCCTTGTCCCTCTTCCTACCACCTTCTCCTCCCCCAAAGTGAGGAGCTGTACAGCTTGCTTTAGGAACAAAGGAGTTCAGCAGTCTGTTGGTCACCTTCCTTCTGTAAGCCTGTTTCTCTCATTTATTGACAGATCCGTTCATAAACCAGTCATCATGTGTTACTTCTCTGCCTGAATTATATTCCCTAATATGTCTGTAAGTTTGTCATTTTTTTTATCACCTTCAAAACAAAGCCATCCTCAGTGCTGCTTTAGCCTTCTCACCTCATTATCATATCCCCAACTGAGGTTTGGGGATCAACTTCTTCTCTGATGTTTTCTTTGTCATTTATGACTTGGTATCTTTGAGATTGTGCCATGCTTTCTATTTGTAGCATACAAAAAATATGCTGTTTTGTTAATAGTTGCATTTTTATCTAGATGTGGAACAATAGTAAATATTAATGTTTCTTTTTTCTCTGAAAATCCTAATATGTGGCACTATTTTGGTTTATTTCCTGTTCATTTATAACAATAAAAGTCAGAGATTTGAATAGATTTCCTCTAGGTTTATACTGTAGCCTCATAACTCTGTTGATGTTTCCTAGTAATCAAATTTTAGCTCAAGAGTAGCAGCAAAGTTTATCCATTGTATTTCACTTTAAAAATAAGCTTTTCATCGATTTTGTTTTGAAGTTTTTTATGAAGGAGTTGTCTGTCTGTTATCGGATTGGATTTTCCAAGGCTGCCCCTCTGTTTTCTTTTGAAGCACTAAAAAAAGCTGTCTTTGTTCTGCTGTGAAACACTTCATCCCACCCGCTGTGAAAAATTAGAAAATCCATACTTGTTAAATAAAACAAGACACTTATTCATGTAAGAGTGGGTCACCTTATCAATACCCCATAAAAGGAACCGCTTATCTTGTATGGGCTCTAAGGTTGTCATATATGTTGACATTTCTGCGGTTTTAATGCAATGTGGTTAGAATCGCAATTGTTTTAATTTTTTAGCTGTTTCACATTATAAATCTGCTCCTTGTGCATCATGATGAATGTTTCACTTGACAGTTTGAACACCTGGATCTGTCAGTCCGCAGAATGAGGATTTTCTCTGTTGAGCCAGAGGAGGAATTATGTAAAAATTCAACCCTCCGGTGTCCAGATTAAAATGGGCTGAAGCCTTCTAGTTAATTTAACTGCAGAGCTCTCAGAGCTCACAGTTCCTGCTTTTATTCTCTGACTATTAACAGGGTTAGTTACGGGTGGAGCTGAACAGAAACTTTGAACACAGTGTTTGCAGCAGCCTGACTCATCCTGCTACTAGAAGCTGAAAGATGAACCTCTGCATTAGCTGTAATATTCATTTTTAAATTGAGAAACATCCATGATTAAGAATTATAGAATGTTATTTCCTGTTGTTGGGGGCTTTAAAAAAGATGGCAGCAATGTACACGTGGTTGGATCTTCTGGGTTTGAAGAGGGGTTCTGGTTGTGGCAATTTTGTGACATCATATTCACAATACACATTCCTAATGCACTTTACAGTCCATTCAATTAAATCACACAGACAGAATGTTTTACAAATTTTACATCTAAGAGAACCCAGCAGGTCGCACCCAGTCATTGACTTTGCAGAATTCACCTCTCCTGAATAAGCATGTAGCAACAAAGGGAAGTTGTTTGCAATGTGTCATTGACTTCCTAGTAATCCTTTATACTGAGCATGCATGTAGTGAGAGTGCAGAGGAAACCCCCACCATTAACAGGAAGAAACCTACAGCAGAACCAGGCTTAATGTGAACTGCCTTCTGCCACAACTAACTAGAGGTTGGAGAAGATAGAGCATAAAAGGAGCACAGAAGCATTGTTCCAGGAAAACTTTCTATGTTGGAGAAGGTATTGTAATGCTAGGCTAGCTCTGTAGGCAGTTTTTTCTAGTAAAGAGATGATGATGATTTTCAGAGGATGAAAGAGAGCACATACACTCACCGGCCACTTTATTAGGTATTAGGTAGTACGTTACTAGCATTAGGTATGCTAGTAACGGGTTGGACCCCCTTTTGCCTTCAGAACTGCCTCAATTCTTCGTGGCATAGATTCAACAAGGTGCTAGAAGCATTCCTCAGGGAGTTTGGTCCATATTGACATGATGGCATCACACAGTTGCCGCAGATTTGTCGGCTGCATAGCCATGATGCGAATCTCCCGTTCCACCAAATCCCAATGATGCTCTATTGGATTGAGATCTGGTGACTGTGGAGGCCATTTGAGTACAGTGAATTATCCTGCTGAAAGTAGCCATCAGAAGTTGGGTACATTGTGGTTATAAAGGGATGGACATGGTCAGCAACAATACTCAGGTAGGCTGTGGCGTTGCAACGATGCTCAATTGGTACCAAGGGGCCCAAAGAGTGCCAATAAAATATTACCCACACCATGACACCACCACCACCAGCCTGAACCGTTGATACAAGGCAGGATGGATCCATGCTTTCATGTTGTAGACGCCAAATTCTGACCCAACCATCCGAATGTTGCAGCAGAAATCGAGACTCATCAGACCAGGCAACGTTTTTCCAATCTTCTATTGTCCAATTTCGATGAGCTTGTGCAAATTGTAGCCTTAGTTTCCTGTTCCTAGCTTAAAGGAGTGTCACCCGGTGTGGTCTTCTGCTGCTGTAGCCCATCTGCCTCAAAGTTCGACGTACTGTGCGTTCAGAGATGCTCTTCTGCCCACCTTGGTTGTAACGGGTGGTTATTTGAGTCCCTGTTGCCCTTCTATCAGCTCGAACCAGTCTGGCCATTCTCCTCTGACCTCTGGCATCAACAAGGCATTTCCGCCCACAGAACTGCCGCTCACTGGATGTTTTTTCTTTTTCGGACCATTCTCTGTAAACCCTAGAGATGGTTGTGCGTGAAAATCCCAGTAGATCAGCAGTTTCTGAAATACTCAGACCAGCCCTTCTGGCACCAACAATCATGCCACGTTCAAAGTCACTCAAATCACCTTTTCTTCCCCATACTGATGCTCGGTTTGAACTGCAGGAGATTGTCTTGACCATGTCTACATGCCTAAATGCAGTGAGTTGCCGCCATGTGATTGGCTGCTTAGAAATTACGGTAAGTGTTAATGAGCAGTTGGACAGGTGTACCTAATAAAGTGGCCGGTGAGTGTACAATTAAGCCTAGTCAATACTTGACCCTCATGCAAAGGGACACACGTCAACAGTGACTGTATTGCGCCATTCCCCCTTCCAAGCTAGATCTCTATGTGCTCTGTCATTTCTTTATATATTTAACACAGACCTCGTGGGGACTACTTCATTCATAACGAAAATGATGCTAACGTTTCACTCAAATAAATCACAACTTTGAGAACAGAATGGAGAGAGTAAAAGAAGAATAAAACAACAAACAGGGAAAGGTAGAAGTATGATGAATGCGGGTTTTAAAATGTTATTGTACACATTAATTAGAGTCCGGACTTTTAATGTTTTATATCCTTTTATAAAGGATATAAAACAGTAAATGTTTATGTTTTATAAAGGGGTCCAAGGGTTGTTTCCTCCCCATGGCTTTACTCTCAATCTAAACTTATATTAATAATATTAGAATATAAATAATAAATATATGAATATTACCTGTCAGCCAGCCATCAACAAAAAAAGCTCTGCTATCTATCCTTATGATGTGTTCACACCACATGCAGATGGATCAAATCAAGCGAGTGATTAACATGTTATCCGCATGTAGAGTTGCATTCAAGAGCTGCTGTAAAAGATGCAAAGCTTAAAGAAAAAANCGCATGTAGAGTTGCATTCAAGAGCTGCTGTAAAAGATGCAAAGCTTAAAGAAAAAACAT